TTTGTCACTAGGGACACTGCTTGTTCAGCCGTTTTTTTTAAGGGAAGCTCAGGATAAACTGTAAGGTGTGAAGTGGAACCAAAAGTGTGTCTGCGTGCGTTGTGTGTCTGTGTCTGTGTCTGTGTCTGTGTCGTGTCTGTGTGTCGGTGGTTCTGTGTGGTGGTGTGTGTGTGTATTTAGAGCGATGGTTGGGTAAATTTGTCCTCGAAACCAGGACAATGGCTAAATTCTAACATGTCAGCTGCAGTAACACGTTTCTAGAGATGAGAGATAGATCTGTTGTTTAATTTCTTAACCAGTGGGTCGACTGATGGGGGTTTTTAAGTGGCCGATACTAGAGAAGAAGGGACACCGCATATAACACCGATCACCATATATTATACCACCTGTAACATTTAAAAACACGGATGGAGTATGAGGAAATTAGTAAACGTCTACAACAGGATATATGAGAGTTATAGTACAGGGGCAATTCATGCACAGCCTTTAAAATATCAGTGGTTGGAAAAATAATTAAAAAATAATTTACTAGTTGCCTTCAGAACAGCTTTCCTTTAATCTTACTGAAGTGCTTGTGAAGTGTTTGTGACTGATGTCAGACTGCTCTTGTTGAACAAGACTTTCTCCAGTGGTTGGGAGGATGAATAGTTATATATCTCTCTCTCTATATATATATATCTATCTCTATATATATATCTCTATATATATATATATCAGAAAATAATTGGCACCTCCCGAAAACGTGCCAGGTCTAACAGATACCTGAGATCATTTGTACCATCAGCTGTTGGGTTTCTCAACAAACTATAGGTAATCTATATTCAATTCAATTCAATTCGATACAATTTTAAGCTGCGTGCTTCACCGATGTTTCCATCTTTGACTTAATTCTGCCGATCACGAAAGCGCTCTTGAATCTGGTCTTCTGAAATGGCTTCCTGTTTCCTGTAACGACTCCCATGAGACAAGTAGTTTTGCATGTCCATCAGCTTGGTATAAAGCACCTTAACACACTTGTTTGTTCCTTGTGTCTGCAGGCATAAACCTGTCTATTTCAAGGTTTAAAGGTCTCGATAACAACACAACACACAATGTTAAGCAGATTTGGATTAGTGGTACCATGTCTGTGCTAGTAAACCAACAAAAACATTTTGTGTTTCAAGATCTGATCTGAAGTGTTTCTTATTTAGTGGGCCTGGGTGATAGAAGCGTGTAGTCAGACACTGAAGATACTCGGAGACACCATGTTGATCCCTGACGAGCACCGATAATCCCAGGATGTGGTGCAAACACTTTATGCTTCAGCTGGTTCATATTATTGTTCCCTCTGATGTGAAGCCAAACAGGCCATGTGAACAGGTTAAATGAAGACAGTACGGCACACAGCAGTACCAAGACCCTTAAAACAGACAGATAAGCATAAGAAAATGCTTGGTTTTGTTGGTCTTTCTACAATGTTTCTGCATTATGAATAGAAAGTGCTGATGTTACGTAGATGCAGAACGTACAGTATGCTCGTGTCGGTGTTCAGGTGGCTGTGGGGTAATTTCAAATATTCTCTCAGGTCAGCTTTGTATGTCAGAGTCCATAAAGCTCAGCCAACCCCAGTAGCTGTTTCTATTTTTAAACTTACCATCAACCAAATCGGATACGCCTCTCTTATCCTCGAGTAAGGACACTGAGATATATATAATTTGAGTTAATTACCAAAACTTTATTAAAACTAGTCCCAGACAGGAAAAACACAGATATTTTCAGTTTGTCGGTAACAGCAGTGTCGTAATTGTTCAAAACATATTACAGATTATTCAAATCTAATATAACGTCTTAACATCCGTGTTTTATTACTCAGGAAATTGTAAATGATTATAAAGAAGATTAGATAAGAGAATGCGGTCAACGAGTATACGTATTTTAATCTCTGAATTGCGCTTGCAAAAATATGAAAAATGGCAATAAATGGCCGACTGCAAGCTAAAATAACAAAACTGTACATTCCCATTTCTCTGAACTGTGTAAATGACAGTAACAAGATAACGTCCCTCAGTTAGAGCAGTGCAATGGATATTAGACTATAAAACAGATTGCAGAAAACTTCCTAACTGCAATTAATAGCGTACTTCTGAACAGAAAAGGGTCTTTGAGCAAGACACTGAATCACTGCCAGAGTTGATGCTCAGTATTTAACTTTGACCCGTCGGTGTGTAAAGCAAGATTTTAGTATTACAAAATCAGACGTAATGTTCTCAGAAATGCTCTGTGTCCAAGCCACTGTCCCAGTCGTGTCCTACGTGATGGTCCTCTCTTGTCCATGCTGAAGGTTACTGAGGCAAAGGTTGCTGGCCTTGGACAAAAGACATAGTTGAATCAAAACCACATCGCTGCAGGATCCTGGCAGGCCGGCGGGCTGAGGTGCAACATGTCACATAATCACTCCAGCGTGACCTTATCGTGTGTCATACCCTCACTGTCCACATTATCTTGACTGTTTCTCTAATTCATGTACTGAGCATGCTGTAAAACGTATCTAGAGGAATGTACACACCGTGTACGTATTGGCTGTGCTGGAGTGCTTGGTGAGTTTTATCTCCGAGAAGCTCCGATAACCGATGGCTGAGATAAAGCTGGACTCGGACCTTGAACTTGAAAACATAATGTGATGATAAACATATTTTTACTGGACACTTTTTAAAAGAGTGAGCGGCAGCAGGGTGTGACGCTAAACAACAGGTATCATCAAGCACGATCATACAGATATCACCATGTGACTTTATATTACTTACTGTGTGTGTGTGTGTGGTAGTAAAATGGGAAATTACCTTTTAACCCTTTAAAGTGACCGTTGTTTTTAAAAGGAACCAGCCTGTTCTTGTTTTGAATAACAACTCACTCGTACAAACACACGTAAATCCACATACTTATCATGAGCAGAGCTGTGGACAAAGAAAATGATAAGCCAGATTTATAGCAGAGGGCTAAAAATACGTTTGGCTGGTAAACAAAGGCCAGATTCACTCTTGATACTGTGAATTGTCATTAACTCCTGTTTACTGTTTGGTCTTCTCTTTCAGGTGCTGAGTAATGCACGCCTCTTCTTGGAGAACATTATAAAGTGAGTATGGACCTACACACACAAATGTACAGTTATATGAAGTATACACGAGCAGGTGTCCTCACCATCGCTCCATATTTCATTACATTCATTTGTTGCTTTTGTCCAAACTCAATAAAAACAGCAGCTAAACATCACCAAAGTGAGATGAACTGTTCTCTCATCTAGGTATGGTATCTTGGTGGACCCCATCCAAGTAGTGTCTCTCTTCTTGAAGGACCCCTATAGCTGGCCAGCCGCTTGCCTCATCATTGGTATGGAGCTTTTGTTTTACAGCCTCAGTGTCGTCTAAACAGATGGTGAATGACTTCCAGGCACGTGTCCTTCTGTGACCTCAGGAGTGATGCTCTAGTTGAACTTAGCAAACACACGCTGTAGCTGTATTTCCTGCACTTGAATCAGGAAACATTAGTTTCTGTCACGGTAACATGAAGTGTTATTGTTGATTGTAATAAAATGTGTTTTACGGCCTGCCCATGTTCTAAATGGCTGATCTGATACAGCATGAGATGTTTTAATCAGCCAGATGTTCAAAGTTAGCGAATAGGAACATTGTTAGTACAGGTTACTGTGTTTTTTTAGCACAGCTGTTATTGAATATTCAGTCTTTATTTACCCAAAGAAGGTTGACTGGGGTCATTGTTTTCTTTCCGGCAATAACCGGCTTTATCAATCCCATAAAACAAGTCAATGTGAATGAACATCGTTGTCCTCAGCAGGCTCTGACCTACAGGGTGAAACAACAGAACAATTCATCTAAATAAAATGCTACTATTGAGATAAAAACCTGGTCTGGAGTAATAAAATAAATCTATGTGTTTCTATAACTAATGAACCTGTTTGTCTCTCCTGTGTTTCAGCATCTAATATGTTCATCTTAGCAGCCTTGTACATAGAGAGGCGTCTGGCTGTGGTGAGTACTTACAATGACTTGCATACACTTTCATAGATGACACTATTGTAATAAATAATTCTGTTTGCTTTTGTTCTTTTAAAGCTTCTGCTGATAGATTACTATAAACCTTCGACTCCACCTTTGTTTGGAAGGGTGTAATTAAAACTTTGTTTGGGGATTCTGTCAATATTATTGCTGTACGGTGAACCGTGAAAAGTGCGTTTGAATTTATAATTCAGGATTCAGGGATCTACCATCAAGGATGTTTGCCTGAACAGGTGCTTTACACATCCTGGAGTCACCAGTCTGCCCTCTTTATACCTGCTCCTAACTCTGATACGAGCACCGCCCTGGTTCAGATTAGATTACATAAAATGTAAAACACTGACAAATAATAATATATAATATAATATAATATTTGTGAAAAGCACAGTGAGAAAGCTATGTTTCTCTGGTTAAAGGAACAAATAATAAAAGCGTATTTGTAGTCACAGATCAAGTGTGTTACAGTAAGAAAACTTGTGTTTTTCTTTCATTGTTTCTAGGGTACCATTTCCAAAATGACGGGACTGATTCTTCACATTTTTAACCTGACATCCCTGTTGATCTTTCCTTCAGCCACCGTGCTCGCTTTGACCTCCATGACCCCAGGTACATACTAAATGCTAAGTGCTATATTTATGAGGCTTGAATAAAGCATTTTGAATAAAAATGTTGTTGGTTGCACCAGAAATTACTTCTACTTTTAATTTAGTTTAGTTCTTATCTGTACACCCATAGTGTTCCTTTCTTCTGTCATTTTCTTGCTCTCAGTCAATGACTGTGTGTGTGTGTGTGTGTGTGTGTGTGTGTGTGTCAGTGGGTGGTGTGCTCTCCCTAGGAATCTACACAGTGCTGTTTCTCAAGCTGTATTCCTACCAAGACACCAACAGGTGGTGTAGAGAAATCAGACAGGCAAAAGCCAAGAAACTAACACGATCATACTCATGTAAGTATATCAATACACACACAAACTGTGTATTGATAAAATAAATGTTATCTAGATTCTGAGTAGGCGCACACACACGTAGGATACAGTACAAGGGCGGAGGTATGAGGCGCCCTTGAACAGAGTCAACAGATCAGAGTGAGCCTAACTTGGCTGAATATAGAATTGAAAACTGGATTTAAACACATAAATGTCAGTGCACATTTAACATAGTTATACTGTTTTATTTATTACTGTGCTTCTACTGCCATCTAGTGGTGACAAGACAAACTGAAGCTTTAGGCTCCACTCGGTCACACACACTGACAGAGAGCTGTGTCTTCAACAGCTGTGTTAAGAAGCTAGTTTAATCCTAAATGCAGCTTGATGACTTTATCTCTCCGCTGTAGGAATTGAGATAAACAGACGACACACAGAGAAATCTTATAAGGGATTATAGATATTTATAATGAAATTTGCTGAGTTGTAGGAAATGAGCTTGTGAGACTTAAAGTGCCAGTTAATTACTAGCTCCATTTTGTGTGTGTGTGTGTGTTTTTCAGGCCCCTCTGTGGCACAATCCAACGGGTCAGCAGTTCATACTTATGTCTCCTACCCAGGCAACCTCACCCACAGAGGTAGACATGATACCTGCATGGAGATAAACAGCACAGTTTTTAAATGACATTTTCTGTGATAATCATAAATGAATCCATTTCTTCTTCGTTTATCTTCAGACATGTACTACTTCGTCTTTGCCCCAACTCTCTGCTACCAGCTCAACTTCCCGCGATCACCTCGAATACGCAAAAGGTTCCTGATAAGAAGACTTTTTGAAATGGTGAGAGGGAACGCACACACACACACACAGACATATTGTATGTGTTCTTAAGAAGGTAAACTGAGATGGTGGAAAATGAACCACAAACAGGAACAGACATGCATATTAACATTTTTTGATTTTCACTTGATCTCTTCTTGTAGCTTTTCTTCATGCAGCTGTTGGTGGGATTGATACAGCAGGTGTGTTCAACATTAACATGACTTAAGTCACACAGAAAAGCATTCAGGATGTACTCTGCACACACACATTGAAACACAAAGTTCAATAGAAAGTCATTCATCATAGAAATATTTCTCCATTTCACCACTAAAACGATGCAAACTAATGCAATTTTCATTCGTGTCTTCCAGTGGATGGTTCCCACCATACAAAACTCAATGAAACCATTCCAGGTGCGTACACACACACACACACA